TGCTCAGCATAATTACAGTGTAAGCTACAGCTGGTCCCCGTGGGTTTCACTCAAACACCAACGTGCATTAGCAGGCGTCTTCAGCAGGGATTGCAGAGAAGATATATATATATATATATATATATATATATATATACAGAGTGCGACGGGTAAATTGTCGCCGTTTTATATTTGTTTTGACGACTGCACAGCATAGTAGGTTCAGTTGGGCACCGTCTGTGAGAAAAAGAAATGGCATGCTGTACTGCTTGGCATTCGCGCCAGAAGCTTGAATACGAACATTTAAGAGTGTGTGCACGTCAATTTGAGGACAGTGCAGAGCATTCAGAAAGAGTTGGATGAGTTTAATGGTGATTACGAATGTATTTGGCGTGATCACTGGTGATGGCGACGTTATGCCTCTATTCATCTTCCCACAAGGCCTACATCAAGTGCTGCCCTCGGTCAGAAGACTCTATGTCTGGCAACAGGACTCTGGACACAAGCAGGAGACAATTTCTGAGACTACATGACGTCTTACATCAGGCCACCTAACTCCCTAGACTGCAAGCCCGTCGATTACTATGTATTGGGGTGTACTTGAGCTACATACCAACAAAACTCCTAATAACACCAAAGATAACCTGCAGTCCACGCTGAAACCTCCTGACGAGTGGATCGGACAAATAGCAAGATTTACTTGTATTAATCCAATTAAGGGTCTATGTCTGATATCGAGCACTTTACAGCAAAGACTGCTTGCCTTAAATCTTCTTTCTTTCAGACTTCTACTGGCTGTCAATATATTTTTATTATTATATATATATATATATATATATATATATGTGTGTGTGTGTGTGTGTGTGTGTGTATATATATATATATATATATATATATATATATATATATATATATATATATATATATATATATATATATATATATATATATATATATATATATATATATATATGTGTATATATATATATATATATATATATATATATATATATATATATATATATATATATATATATATATATATATATATATATATATATATATATATATGTATATATATATATATATATATATATATATATATATATATGTGTATATATATATATATATATAAATATATATGTATATATGTGTATGTATATATATATATATATATATATATATATATATATATATATATATATATATATATATGTAAATGTGTATGTATATAAAATACATATATATATATATGCAATTTTTATATATATTATTTATATATTATATACTAGGGTTATTTATTGGAAAGCGCTCTATATCAGTGATCGAGCTGACATATTTAGTTGGATTGATGTGTGTTTGTGACCCTGGGTTTCACACTATTTGCGATAGTCAGACAACAAGTAAATAGCGTTAAACCCAGGGTCACAAACTCACATCAATCCAACTATATATATATATATATATATATATATATATATATATAGCGATATTGTCAATATATTTGTTATCATATATATATATATATATGTGTATATATATATGTGTGTGTGTGTGTGTGTGTGTGTGTGTGATGATTGTGGAATGGATATTAGTTTGGAATGAGAACTTGAAGAGTCGAATTTGAATTTTATTCGAGTTCATTACATTCACTTAGGCTCAAGTACATCTATTTACCCCAATCATGGGTTAAATATTAGGGCAGACTGGGTCATCTATCCTTGTATTGCAACGAATCTAAGAGAAGGAATTTAAAATATGAGGAGAATCGTTCCATGCTTTAGTGAGAGTCATATGGTGGGAGAAGAATTCAGGCGACATTTTGAAAACTGGTAGAAGTTCTGGCATTGCAGAGAAAACTGTTTTTTATTTCTATGGCCCTCGTTTTTATTGTTCTCATTGTTCCATTTTAGCTGTTTTCTTTGTCTGAATTTCTCTTTTTATAGCACCTTGATCTGAAATTGTGTGTGTCTTTGTGTGTAATATTTTTTTTTTAATTCTTAATTAATATACTTTACCTGCCTGTTGTACCTGAAAGTTCCTATGTTGTCACCCGCTTCGGAAACCAAACTAAGACTCCATACGTTTATTAATATTTCATGAGAATCCATCTTCACATCTCAAGCTGACTTTAGTAATTATGATGCAATCACTCATAAGTTTCAGGATTTGTTCTTTTTTTTCCATTATGGGAAATTTCTATGACAAGAAGCATAGAATGTAAATGACTCAGATTCCAAGAAACAATATTTGGAAAAGCAGTCAAATGGCAGAAAACTACATCAAAAGAAACAGTTAACAAACTATAAAGAGAAAAATGTATGTTCATCATCTTTGTTAACGTTCAATACATTTTTCTATTTTATTCTCAATGCATTTAGACAAAATATTACTAAATTGTTTATTGCTGTATTTTCACACAATGGTAATTAAAAGCAAAAATAAAATACTTAAAACTATTAATGAAATAACAGTGAAAATGCTTCATCAATAAGTAATACGAGAGAATAAAACTGATAATAAATTATAAAAATGAAAGGTCTTAATTTAAAAAGCAACAATAAGACGGAATAGAGCGATAAATAAAATTATAACAGTAAAAATACTTAATCTAAAAGTCGCAATAATGTGATGAAATAAAAGTAACTAAACCCTACAATAAATGCGTTGATGCTTCTTGCTTTCCTGTTTGTTAGAAATCCTCTTCTGTATTTCCAGTCTTTAAGAACTTGGGCGAACCATCTGATTATTCTATCAGTCTATTAGCCTTCTATTACTTTTTGGTAAAGTAATAGACTCTCTATTTAACTCTAAATAAGTTAATCATCTCACATCGCAAGGCCTTCTTTCGGATAAGCAATATGGCTTTCGATTATCTAGGCCAATTGTTAATGCATTAACGATTATTGCTAAAAGAGTTTATCAAGCTTCAGATAGGAACGGTGGTTGCTTCGGATATCTCGAAAGCAATTGACAGGGTTTGGCATACTGGTCTTCTTCACAAGATGAAAGGTTATGGCATTTTTGGCCGATTTTTTAATTGATTCAGTTTCACTTATCAAATCGTGAAATGATTGTTGTCTTGAATGGACACTCTTCTAGATCTTTTTTTGCATAAATACGGTTGTTCCCCAGGGCTCTATCCTTAGACGTACGTTGTTTCTAATTTTCATAAATGACCTTCCTGATGTCATCAGTTCTCAACTCCGTATCTATGATGATGACACAACTATTTACTCCTGTCTTAATATTAAGTCTGATCGGTTCGATAAGGTCATTGGCAGCTGATTAAAAACTGACGTAGAATCTGTTGCTAAATGGGACAAGGAGTGGTTTGTTAATTTTAACGCCTCAAAAAAGAAATTTCTCTCCAGGAAAGTGGGTCGCTGCGCCTTCTCGGATTAACGTTTTCATCTAACATGAAGAGAAAAGAATAGTAAGAATTAATTGTTAAGTCTGCAGCTAAGAAACTTGGCTCACTATATTCTTCTAGATAATTTTTCTCGACAGAATTTTTCTTACCTATATATGTCTACTATTCGTCCTTGCTTTGTATATTGTTGCCATATTTGGTCTGGTGTGACATATTTAGAAATTCTTGATATAATCCAAAGAAGAATCTGCTATATTATTGGTTCTGACCTGGCAGTTCGGCTTCAATTACTTTCCTACTCCCGTAAAGTAACTCTCTTGTGCCTTTTCTATAAATTCTTTTCATGGTAATTGTTCTGATGAACTTTCATTTAGGGTATCTAGACATTATGAATTTAAGTGCTGTACTAGATTGGCTGCTAGGTCTCATCAATTTACAGTTGAAATGGCTCGGATGCAACCGCACGTTCTATGCTAAGTGTTTCTTCTATCACATTTCCCGCTTGTATGACTCTCTTTCAGCTTCTTGCTTCCCAGTAAACTTTGATCTTCAAAAATTTAAATACAATGTCAATCGTTATCTTCTGTCTTCTTAATTCTTATTCTTTTATTGTCCTCTCTCCTTAGTTTTTTTTTAATTTTTTTTTGTATTCACTAACACTCAGTAACCTCTTGCATCCTAGTGGCTTTGTTGCCTTGCTTGGGGTAAAATGATTAAAAAACAATAGTGCAAATATTACTTTCAAAAATTTGAAAAACCTAATTATTATTATAAATTCTAAAAAGCAAAATTGTGTGTGTTCCTTTTTGTTTCTATCTGTAGCCTACCGCTTTTCCTCTGACGTCACTGTATTTTTGTCTCTACGGTTAGCTGTTTTAACTAGAATAGGAAAAAGTGCTAATTTTATCATTTACTGCACAGATGGGGCCCCGCGGCTGATTGGTTAGAATGTTAGCGCCCTGACTATGAAACCTGGGTTCGAATCTCAGCACGATCGATTTGCCAAGATGATAATATTGGGGAATCGATATTCAAATGTATTACCAATGGGAAATGCCTAAAAACACCAGACAAATTGATTCAAGCCTTTTTAAGTGAAATGCGGTGGGGACATAACTGTTCGTATTAAGAGTTGCAGCATACTGAGCTTCTTCAAGTGATTAATTATGTCAGATTATGCGTTCTTTCTCAGAAAATAATTACTAAGGTCATAGTTGCAGTATACACCAGAGATTGGCTCAGTTGGGGTTGAAGAAACACAAATGTGTCTGAACAGATGTCTGCAACAGGGATTAGCTAGCCACCTTAGCGGGCACGTACTCGGATATGAGTGGTCAGTCATCACAGTATAAATGAGTAGAGACTGTATTATAGACATCTTTAAAATATTTGTTTTAACTTTTTGAAAGAACCAATTAAATTTAAATAAAGTTTTATTTCAGCAAATAAAAAACTATAGGAAACAAATAGGTAGAACATCAATACACCCTTTTATTTTGACGAAATATACACGGGGAATATCAGAAAGGTTCCGCCAGAAACTAAGAAAAGAGTACAGAATTGTTATGTAATATCAGTCCTCTTGCTTCTGCCTTCTTCATCTGTCAGTTGATCTGGGCAACTTTCAGTGAACTTTGAACTGAATCCTTTAAGCCAGTGGTTCCCAAACGGTACGGTGCGTCTCATAGGCGAGGCGGAAGAGGATAGCAGGTGAGGCGGAAGAGGATAACAGGTGAGGTGAAGGAGATAGCAGGTGAGGCGGAAGATGATAGCAGGTGAGGCGGAAGAAGATAACAGGTGAGACGGAAGAGGATAACAGGTGAGGCGGAAGAAGATAGCAGGTGAGGCGGAAGAGGATAGCAGGTGAGGCGGAAGAAGATAACAGGTGAGACGGAAGAGGATAACAGGTGAGGCGGAAGAAGATAGCAGGTGAGACGGAATAGGATAACAGGTGAGGCGGAAGAGGATAGCAGGTGAGGCGGAAGAAGATAACAGGTGAGACGGAAGAGGATAACAGGTGAGGCGGAAGAAGATAGCAGGTGAGGCGGAAGAGGATAGCAGGTGAGGCGGAAGAGGATAGCAGGTGAGGCGGAAGAAGATAGCAGGTGAGGCGGAAGAGGATAGCAGGTGCGGTGAAAGATGCTAGCAGGTGAGACAGAATGATTGAAAGGCAATCAAAGATTTTGAAACAGTTTCAAAACATTCATATGTCAAAAATAAATATGATTTCAAAATATTATTATGGATTACTTGTAACTGCATGCATAAGTCCCAATATAAACAGTTATAAATATTTTTGACCTATTTTATCACTGTGATATTTCTGCATTATATCAAGTAGTTAGAATATAGTAACTAGTGACCGCAAATTGGAGGAAAGAGTTATCAATGATAATGATCTGATTTCGAATCAGCGGTTATCTCTCTCTCTCTCTCTCTCTCTCTCTCTCTCTCTCTCTCTTTCTCGTACTTTTTATCACATAAAATTTGCTGAAGCGTGAGTAGATTTTCATTCCGAAAATGCGGCCCAGAGAAAAAAAAAAGTTTAGGAACCACTGCAATCTATAAAGGTGCATTAAATAAAGGGGGGGGGCACTACAAAAAAAGTAATTTTTTTTAACAATCACAATGTCAAGTCAATCATGAATTGTTGTTAAACACATGGCTGAAGATTTAACGCGGTAAGATGTGGGAAAAGAAATAACGAACGACATTGTTCTCTTTACCATAATTTTTTTTCTTTGAATGGCATTTCAGCTGCTTCATCATTCTGCAGGTAAAATCCTAGCCAATGTCTTTCAACTTGTGATGCTGCTTCTATCTTTTAAATGATGGGTTGTCATCATTTTCAGGGGTAAACGGAAATAGAATGAACGTAGAATGAGTGGAAGGATTTTTAATGACTGATTCATTTTTTACGGCTTATCAACCCTTTGCAGGTTATTTGCGCTTAAGTGACTATAATGAACATAACTTTGCTCACCGATTAACAATTCCGAGCCATTATCCATTACACCACCCTCACATCCAAGCTTACATCACCTGGTATTCTCAAAAGGTCACTCATATAGGTACTGATCGGGCTCAGTGTTGCTTAACTTTGGTGATTGTTCGTGTCTGTCCGTACCGTTCCATATAGTGTTTCCCTTCTTTGAATCTCGCTTGACCTATTTTGTTCCTCAGTAACCCAAGGAGACTCTCCTGTCATATCAGCAGCATTAACTTAAAAAGGAAGACTTACCCAAACTAGTCTATTCACCTCTAGTTAGTCACTGAGACGAGGTTGAATATCTTTATGTAGATTTTAACATTTGCAGTCTACTTAACTATGTGAGCATCTTAAACAATCAAACAGGAACCCATTTTACCTCACTTGGCTTTTTTCAAGGTAAGAAATATCGGATTCTTTGGGTGATATTTGATCAGAATGTTCACCTTGTAACTGCTTATTCAATTTATGTAGGTTATTGGACCGAGCTTGAATATCTTTGAGTAGATTTTTCAAATATTTAACATACGCTAATATTTATATCAGCAGCATTAACTTAAAAAGGAAGACTTACCCGAAACTGGTCTATTCACCTCCAGTTGGTCACTGAGCCAAGCTTGAATATCTTTGGGTAGATTTTATCATTTGCAGTCCACTTGGGTAGATTTTCTATATATTTAACATATGCAGCTCGGTCATCATCGTGTTGTTCTCTGATAATTGAGGCGAGACACGAAGACTATTCTAGCACACAATGTTCTATATTAATCCTGGGTAGCCTATGTCAACATACGACTGGGTCACTTGGGCAGTTTTTCACCCACTAGACAGCTTCACCCTACACAGTGTTTCGATTCCCATCTGCGTCAGTTCGAAAGGAACTTTGTTTTTTTACAGTAAGTTTCACCCTATACAAGGCCCAGGGTTATCTTAGAAAAGAGGGTTATGTTAAGCGGCAATTTATGCGGATAGAAGGGAAAGATAACAGTTAACCTTAGACTTGAATATATTAAGATTGCAGTGATCAGGGAAAGATCCTCTTGGGTGTCGGTTCCACAGGGTAGTGGTTCGCGGGAAGAAGCTGTTCGAGTGGAACTTACATCTCACCAATCGAATACGGAAGGAATGTTGATGGTTTTCTACAATGTGAGTGGCATGGCGGGTCCTGGCCGTGAGGGTTAGACCATAGCGGAACCAAGGAATACAGTTCGTCCGAGCACTTTCCATAGTAGTCGCGATATAGCAACGAGAGGCTTGCCACATTACACCAAAAGGCCTAGTATTCACAAGCGAACGGAAGATTATATGTTACCAAGATAGGTAAAGAACACACGAATCCTGTTTTCAAGCTGTTGGATTGTTTACTTACAGGCGGAGTTTCAAACTGGACCTCGCACTCTCTTTAGGGGTGTGTAGGTGTCACTTAGGTCCCTTCATGCTTTGTACTTCCACCATGCTAGTGATGTGACGTGTTGGACAGACGGCTTCTCTCATTGCTTACTCTAATCATGACTGACTTTCATCTAAAATACGCTCTATGTAAATACATGACCGGAATTCCTTACCGTCTGGTCAAGTGTAACTTGATCCCCAAAGTTTTTATTCGTTTATTTACACATTTTATTTCCTTTTCTCTACTTTTGGACAGCGAGCGGCTACTTTGAAGCTCTCACATCTTGATTTTACTGTTGGTTGTTATAAAACACTAATCATCTGCAGTACACTTGACTATATGAGTGTGTCACAAATGTGATAAAGGTTTGAAGTGCGAAGGTTATTTTTTTTTAATTATCATTATTATCATTTTTATTAACGAGAACTCTTCTATTAAATCTTTGTAAACGTACAACAGTCCTGGGAATGACGATATACTACATCTGGCAGTAAGGCCTCTGATCGGGAGATTGGAGTGTTTGAGGAGCATTGAACCACCTCTTAATTGCTGTTGTTTCCAGGGTAAATATCAAGAGAGACTGGATTCTCTAGACATGGTTGGCAACTAGTCCATGAGAAGGAAAACTCTGAATTGAAACCAGACTGGAAATAGTTAGTCTCTGTCAGTCTATCTACTGACAGTGTTAATGCAATACATGTGGTACCCATTAAACCGTAAGAGGTTACTGGACTTGTGAACATGATTGTGAAACGAACAACGTAACCCTCAACCAAGCTTTACACTGACTGACCATTGCATTTTGATTCCCGATCTCGTCTATGTGCGCCGAAAGCTGGGCAAGGGCCTGATGCATGCTCACAAGGTAACAAGATGAAAAACAAACGCCACATCAAGAAAGAAAAAGGTGAACTCTGTATCCCATATTATCAAATAGGTATCTTTTATTCTGGTTTTCGCTTGTTCGCCTGGGTGGATAGATAGGTGATACTTAGGACAACTTCTGCTATGTTGGTCAGCTCTTCCCTCTTACCAACTCCACGTTCATCTCCACATCCCAACGTGTGGCTGGCAATACGAATGAACTGCATCAGAACCACGCGATGGACAAGTCCGTTTCCTGCCAAGAGCGGACCAGAACTGAATCCGATCCCAAGTGCGACTGCTAATATAAACTAGCACCCGGATACGGTCTATTTCCGGTTTTGTTGTCACTTAATCTCTAAAAATAACCCTCATCCACTATTTTATTTCCCCGTTCCCCTTCGGTCAAAATAAATGCTTAAACTTAAAAAAGAACCACCTGCTGGTTATTAGAAGGAAAGATTGAGATCGATATAAAATTACATCGTCATTTTCTACGTGGGTGTCCAGAGTATCACATCTTTGTAGACTGAATAGTCTGATTTTGCTTCCCAACATGACATGAACATTTCTATATTTAGTTCTATTTATTTATTCATATAATTCACTTTCTTTTCCATACTGTCAAACAGCAGGCGATTGCATTGGCATTCTTCATTGTCGATTTTACGGTTGTTCATCATAAAATAGCTGGTTACTCCACGCCAAGATAAAATCATTTACAGATCCCTTGATTATATGAGTGTCCTGAGCTAATACTCTTTCTACGAACAAAGAAAAGTTATCAGCGAAGTCATCCCTCTGTCTCCCTCCCACTGTCTTTCCTACAAATATTTTCATGGCAACTGCTCTAACGAGCTTTTTTTCCTGGTGCCCCGACTACATGAATTCTGTTACTGGACTAGCAGCTAGGTCCCGCCCTTTCAACGTTGAAATAGTTAAATGTAATCACCACTTATACTTCAACAGTGTCTTTTCTCGCACTTCCCATCTGTGGAACTCCCTTCCGTTTACTTGCTTCCCTGATAACTATAATTTTCAAAAATTTAAATGCAACGTCAATCGCCATCTTCTATCTTCTTGAATCCCGTTCATCTTTTATCCTTTCCTCATTCCCCTCCCCCTATATACAGTCTTTTCTCTCACCTTCACTCTCTGTAAGCCCCTGTGTACTAGTGGTATTTCTGCTTTGCTTGGGGGGAAATGATCATATATATATATATATATATATATATATAGTGGGGGAAAATAAATATTCGTACACTTGAAAAATATTATTTTTATAAATGTAAAAGCCTTAAATAAAACAAATCTCGGCACATTTTATGTATAAAGACACATACTATTAAAAAATAATAATAAACTTAATTAATTCTTATTCTAACAGAAATTAATGCATTTTTTTTATTCTAACTGGTGAAAAAAGTATTCGTACAAATCAATTATTAGAATAAAATAATCAATTAATTATGAAAAAAGTATATTCTATAATGTTCCAGTAATGTTATCGGTAATTGTAGTTAATGCTATTAGCCATTATCAGAGCATTCTGCAATTTCTAGTCTTACGAGAAGGTTCTAATAATGCCTAAATGTAAAGAATTGACTATTTCACAAAAACAAACACATTTTGTCTATTTTGGAAAGATGGGAAACAGTTACAGAACGATTTCTAACAACCTGAATATTCCTTTTACTACAATTGCTTCGTTCATTGTAAGGTTTAAAACTCGTAACAGCGTCGAAAACCAAAGACGAACATGTGCTCCGAGGAAGATTTCTCTAAGATCAGCAAGGATATTAGGACGCCAGATCCAACAAAATCCACATGTTACCCGAGAAGAGCTGCGGGAACATCTGCGTGCATTAGGGATTAAAGTTTACCAATAAGTAATGA